CAGTTTATGCAACCCGCCCAGCGTCAATTATTTTTGACTTTTACTACCCTAGAGGGTCCTCACGAAAACACGCTATATGCAACTGGTCATAAATAACCTCTTCCAGCGACTTATTCACTTCTTCCATTTCTCGCAGAATAACACCTCTTTCCTGAAAATGAGAATTTCCGCGAAATTCTACGCACTAATCTATTCTTAGAAATTTAACAACTACATTAACAATTATTATATAACAACATGCATCACATTAACAACCGCTATTTCACATGTAAACTCCCTTTCTCAGAAAAAAAACTACTTTACATGAAAGCCATAAAACATCACACGGCTGGATCTAAATCCTCACACACGAAACCCCCAGGCATGGATTTACTCTTGCTGGCCCTACCTCCTCAATAGCTCTTCGTTCAAGCTTGGAGTGCTGAAGTATATCCGATAGTATGTCGAGGCCTTGACCAACGCACTCGCGACGTGTCTTTGCATAGTATCTGTGGAGAGTATTAGTTAAACTTGATATCAAATTTAATGTGATAATAATGAGATTAACCGTAAAATGAGGGTGATAAGGTCTAAGTGACCAACCGAAATTAGAAACCGGCGGTTAGAAATTCACAACTTTATATCAGCATCAATACCACACCACAGTGAAATACACGAACTTGTGAGGGTATTACACTGTTTGTTCTCGAGAAGTATAGGCATTCAGATGAGCTCCAATATCTTCAACTTCTCTCTCTAGCTGAATTCTCGATCTCCGCTGCGTTCCTTTGAAAGCTAGATGCTCTAGAAAATGGGCCGTGCCTAAATCGGGCCAGATTTGAATCTTACACTGATCGACCTAAGATATTTTTCAACTTACCATTGGTTTCCTTCGTCTCATATCGCGAGCCCGCGTCAATCCAAACCCCAACAGTAGCAGACTCCGTGAAGGTGTGCTGAGTAGCAACACGCAGCCCATTGGGTAGGGTGGTCACCTACCACACAAACTGATACAAAAACCGTAAAATCCAAATTCAAAATTACCTTTGTTGGTGGGGCGTTGAAAAGAGCACCTCCCAAACTAGCTGACATATTGCTTATCATACGCCTATCGAGGAAGCCCCTCCGTCCTGTGCGTGCTAGAGCTGCTGCTGCTGGATGCACAGCCAAACTGTGGGAGAGATAAGGAACACTTTTTTGTACCAACATGTTGGTGACAATGAAAAACTTACAAGGGAAAACACTCCCATTTTCACCACCCTAGTAGTGTTGGAATATATCTGTGCTTTCCTAAGCTGAACTTATAAAAGTGAGAGGGGGGAAGTTTGCAAAAAAACAAGAAAAAAATCAAAAAATTTCCTGAAAAATTTCATGCTATCGTAGTTGTCCATGTGCAGATTTTCTCACACTACGGTTTGCACTACCACTACACTGCTGCATTGAGTCGTTATAAGTTACAACTACTATGGTTACATATCTTTATCTCGGATGTAAAAGATACAAAATAGGCCCGATTCCGTCACATTTCTCCTTCTCGACTAACACAATCACTGAGGCAGATGAAAATTCAACTCACCTCGACTGATAAATAGACGACAGCAATTGTGCTAATGAGAGATTCAGCGCGCTCGCCCAAAAATTGGAACTTTGAACCTGTGCATTTCGTGTGATGTTGTTGCTGCTGGTCCTAACTGTTAGTGTCAGGCTTATTGAGACCTTACTTTATCATCTATCAGTTGCTGGTGAGCGTGCTGGCTCCTTTTGCCCACCCTCTGCCACCCGGTAGTTTCTGGTTGTCTGCATCTTGACGTGCAATCCTCAACTATGTGAGGATGGCTGTCCGATGGCCACAGATGAAGTCGGCAGGGCGGGACGAGTTGAGTTAACGAGTTTTGGGTGGGAAGCTGCGATCGGGTTTGTGTTTGCACTTGGATTTATCACCCTTGCCGGGTCTATACACTGTATGACTGCACTGTATAGTATACAGTGCAGTCATTGCATTCTCTTAAATAGGGTGAGGACATCACCGAGCTCCTCTTGCCATATCTCACGCAATATTAGTATCGCGGTCATCAGAGTAGAACTACAGTATGTATTGTAAACCCTGTACTAATAATAACTCGCAGCGGACGAGAAAGTCACTCTCAGTGGGTTGATAAGAGGCCACTGTTTCCAACAACGCTGATAGATCAGCATAAAAGATGTACAGAATTTCCACAGAAAACTCAGCGTATTACGCAGCATTTGCAGGGCCAACATTGATAATCATTATCAGACCAATCCTACTAAATCTAGCTGCCACGATCAGATGCACTTCATTTTCCATGACGAAATCGCAGACGGTTGACAGCTAGATGCCCTCTTGCTGTCTAGTAAAAGCTAGACCATCTACTAAACTGTAAGCTAGCGAAAGCTATAAACTGCTGCGTTGGACGATGGTGATGCGAAGCACAATGGTTCATAAGTTGATTTGTTAGCTTGTTCATTTCCCCTCGAAAGTTTCCCTATAAGGAATGTCTCGTTCAGCATCAACAGACTCGAGCAAAGTCATCGAGGAGATGATCATCCCTGGTGGTTGCTCTGATGCAAGGGCAGTGTTCAACCTAGTCATGACCGCGATTGGTCTCGGTATAATGACACTTCCTCTAGCATTCGCCCGGGCCGGCTGGATAAGTGGTTACATTCTACTCGTTGTCGCCGGTGCCTTCGTCTACTACAACGTAACTCTTCTTTGCGACGGTCTGTGCATGAACCCTGAGAACCCCAAACGCCCCATCTCGTCTTTCGAGGACCTCGGTCGAATTTGCTACGGCAAGGTTGCTACTGTGATTAACTCTGTTACTTTGCATCCTCTCATGTTGAGCGCGTGTGCGGCCTTCCTCATTTTACTCGCTACTAGCATGTACAGTCTCACCGGAGTGTTGTCGTATAATCTATGGCTTCTCATCATGACCATTCTCATCATGCCTTTCTCCTGTTTGAAATCCATGAAGGAAATTAGTTTCTTTTCAGCGCTTGGTGTAGCCTCTGTTTTTGCTACTGTCATACTCGTTGTCATTGCCAGTATAGATGAATACGTAGCCGAGACTGTTGACAATGATGCGATCACATATCATCTCTCTGGAGGCCCCATACAGCTCATCTCCGTTTTCTGTACATTCCTGCTATCATTCAACGTCAGCATTACCGTCCCCACCATCATAAAGGACGTCCGCAGACCTCAGAGGTTCCGACGAAGGGTGGCTTTCATATCGTTCCTATTGGTTGGTGTAGTTTACCTCTGCATAACTACTGTGGGGTATTTGGCCTTTGGTGACTCTATTGCCAATTATGACACTATGATCGAGGCTTTCTCTCCTGCTGATCGCGACGATTGGACTATCTATTCCTGGCTTATCAACGTATGTGCAGTGATACTCGTGGCCACGCACTTTCTGGTCATCATGTCCCCGAGTGCTCAGCTCTCCGACCATCTTTTACACGAGAATCTTACCAAAAAGTGGACTAATCGTGTGCTTGCGGAAGTTGTCCGTTGTGCCTTCCGTATCCTCCTTGTGATATTCTGTGCTCTCGTCGCCTTGCTCGTCCCAAGCGTTGACAAGTTGGTGAATCTCTTGAGTGCAGTGTTCGTGGTACTCATTGCGTTGGTCTATCCGACTGTCTATTACTGGAGAATTTTACACCTCCAAGGTGTTGCTCAGAATCGTTGGCTATTGTGGCTTCAACGTGTTTTGGTTGGTATTGCTTTCATCGCCCTCGTCTTCGGCACCTACATGGCTGTAAAAGACTTCTTCTAGTAGTAGAAAAATGATACCATGACCTGCCCTGTTGTTTGTGGAACTATGTACGATCATTTTTATCATATTATCGTATCGTGAATAGTAACCTGTTAGTGCCCTGGGTTGGCGTTAGCATCTTACCCTACCAGAGAACTCGTATGAGATTCTCTATCAGTGGTCTATCGAGCAGATGAGTGTCTCTTGTATCGATCACATAGTAATTTGCTTATGTTGCTTGCGCCCTGGGATGGCGGTAGCATTCCTATATTATCGAATTTGTGTTTTTTGCGGTTTTTCCATCAGAAATGGCCGACTGGGGAGTCAGTAACCCGTACGTGATGGACATCGCTGTTCGACGTGTGTAGTGTTTATACCAACATCGTCGCAAGAATGCTAACTATGCTGTCTTATTTCATCATTCCGTTGTGTGTTATGATGCCGCTTGTGAAATCTCGGCTCTACTTTTAATCACATTAGTGTCTCTTCTCTCACCATCTAACTCGAAGAAAACTTTCTGCCTATCACCACATCCTCTTTGGTTGTTAATCATAGAAACTTCGAATTAGACTAAATCAGGATATCTATTGATAAAACGATTTCAGTCAGCGTGACAGATAGGAGAGGTCAGCTTTGATCGAATATCAATTTCGTTTTTCTGCCGGTTACCTTGAAGGACGGGATTCATCTGTTGGTGGGGATTTATCTTCCCGCAAACCTTATCGCTTTCTTTGTAACTCGCTGATATACGAAAATTATTGTAAGAGTGTCACGCTTGATGGATATTTGTCTGCCCGAAAGTTACAACTTTAACGCAAATACGGTTCACATCGTATACACCATAGGTTCATCATCACTTTCATGCTGTGCAACCCCTTCCCTGTGTATCACATCGAAGTGTCAATCAATACCCGCCTGAAAATTGACCATACGTTGGTATCAACTCTCCTGACCTCGTCCTTACCTTCGATTCAGCTTAGCAATATCGTTCTCAATAGCCGCAAGCTGTGCTTCAAAACTCTCTTTACGCCTGGTTTTCCCGATCGTATCCAACTTGGTGAGATGCGTCATGCACTAACACAAACATCATCATCATCACCACAGACCATCCCGTCGCCCTTCACCTGATAATCAGCATTGACCTTCTCCCACTTCTTCTTAAGTGCCTCGATTAACTCTAATCTTTCCTCATCAGGCAACGGTCGTATCTAACAACTCTTCCACAAATGTCCTCAGACCTTCCGAAACGCTACCTTGCCCTGCTCCTCCTTCCTCTGTTGGTCCTGTAATTGCCGTATATAGTCGTATCTGAACGTAATACCCCAGCAACCATCACTTTAACGACTCACTCTGATTTGATGTCGGCTTTGATCTTCTCCAAATACGCAGGTACTTTCCCTACCAACCACATCAGAGACCCCCCAGACTCGACCCTCACCGTAGTCAGATTTCCTGAGATAGTCCTTGGCCAGCTCCCCATACTCACCGCCTTCCACCGGAGGAGGAGGTGCTTTTAAAATGTTGTCTACAGCGTTGGCAGTGATGAAATTCTTACCTAACACGTCACCAGCACCAACAGCCAGCAGAGCAGCATCTCGTCCTTACCGGACACCAGATTCATGACGGGTCTCTCACCCGACTTCGGCAGCGCCGGCTTGATCGCGGCGTGAGCCACTGTCGCCTTCAATTTCTCTGGGCTCTTCTTTCGGATCTCCGTCACTGATTTAAAAGTAATTGCCACACACTCCTCCATATGCTTACGAGACTCAATCCTTTTGTTTTTCTCGAACTTCCTCAGAGGCTTTTTCGGATCAGGTTTGGCCGACCCGACAGGTACTCCAAAGGTGGCGTGCGGTTTATAGTAACTAATTCCACGTCCAACGACATACATCTGAGCTTCAACGCTCCCACATGTGTTCAGTAGGCTTCGGTTTCTCCACCTCCTGCGATCCTGCAACGTTGGATATACCTACATCACAACGAGATGTAGCGGAAATGTGGTATGAACTTTTACCAGGCTTGCTAGTCTGAGCCGTAGTGAATGTACTAGAAGTCGGGGGTATGGTTGCTGAATACTTAGACTTATGTCTCGCCGGCTTTGGCTTCGGCAACTCCGGCTCGATAACCTGCCCGACGCTGCTCCTTCCTACCTTGTGAAGCCCTCAATACTACCAGACCGTACACAGACTCATGAGGACCATCATCATCATCTCCGTCGAGTCTTGCTGGCATCATTATAAAGAATTACGTGTACCTTCTTCCGTGTCAACCCACAACCCTTACGATTAACAACACCATGCAGTTGCAACTAGTATACGTTGAATTCCGCAACAGACGAGTCGCTGGTCTATATCAATGTCTTCTACTATACACTCCTTCTGGAGGTAAGCCATACGTGCATCACACCAACTTGTTATACGTTAAACGTGAAAGTAAACACCTCCTCCTCCTCACTCTACTGCTTGCTAGTCTTCTCACACGCGACTGGGCTCGGCAACTCCAAGCCGAATTTCTCGAACTCATGTTGCATCATATCAAAGATGAGCTCATCAATGTGCACTTCAGGTTCCCACCCAAGGCCCTAAAAAATGAGGCGGAGCGATGCCGTAAGACAAGACCCGTCCATAACCCACCTCACGAGCCTTAGTAGCATCACCAAGGAGACTCTCCACTTCCGCAGGCCGGAAGTAGCGCTCAGAGACCCTTACTAAGACCCTGGAAGGGTCGGCTGCATCCACCCCAACCTCCTGCAGACCATGACCACGCCATTCGATGGTGATACCGGCGAGACGAAAGCTGCGTTCCACGAACTCTCGAACCTAAATTGGGATATGCTGATGAGAAAATTAAATTTTCGAGCATTTCCACTGCTGGAGACCCTCACTACTGTCATCTGTTCACCAGTGGCGATGACGTAGTCCACAGGCTCATCCTGTTGGAGCATGAGCCACATAGCTCTGACGTAATCCTTAGCGTGGCCCCAGTCTCGTTTGGCATCCAGGTTACCCAAAACCTACAGTGGGTCCAGTCAAGAGAGGCTCCATTCCTAGGAGTATACTACCACATCCTTCTGCCGGCCTGCCACGATGGAGGCTACAGCATCAGTGACCTGAATGACGCCTTCAAGTGGGGTGGGAGAAGAGGAAGTACCTTCTTGGTCACAAAGGTGCCTCCACGTCTTGGCGACTCATGGTTGAATAGGATGCCATTGCAAGCGAACATACCATAGCTGAAGGGATATATGCGATCAAGGAAAGGGCAGCTACTGATACCACCTCTCTCTGAAGTTCACCACGATCCAATAGGCATACAGCTTGCTAACGCCATAAGGTGAGCGAGGATGGAATGGCGTCTTCTCAGTCTGGGGAGTTTCAGCTACCAAGCCGTACCTACGACGGGAGAAGGATACCCCAAGGGCTTTGATAATACCGTACTTACAGTTCGCTCGTTGAAGCTTGGTAGAACTTACAGTCCTTCTCAAGGCCACATGTCCCTGAGAAGTAGCGATGGTGTGGTATTAATTAACATACTCCAGTGTTACTGATCGCCTCGAGGAGCCTCAAAGTCCCAATAGCAACAACGTCACTCGTATACTCCGACATCTCGAAAGAAACCTGACAGGGACTCCACGAGGTAGTAGGCCCCCCCCTCTCACCTTGACGTGTGACTGAGCAGCGAGATTGTAGATTTCAGTAGGTCTGACTCTGCCCATAACGGAGCAAAGGTTACTGCTGTCAACCTAACAGAACGGACAGGTCGCCGGCAGATAGAGTAACGGTGCTGACCATATCTCCGTAATGCAAATGCAGCCTATCAAAGAGATGATCGATTCTAGAAGTGTTGAAGTGTGACGACCTTCGGATGATGCCGTGTACCTGTACAGTTACCCTAGGAGGATGACTCAGGAGGGACTTCACGTTACCTCGTAACCCTTGTCAAGTAGGAGCTCAGCGAGATAGCTGCCGTCCTGCCCAGTGATGCCCGTAATAAGAGCAACCTTCCGGTTCTCCTTATCGGTAGAGCCACTGCGGACGGTGGGGACGACTGGAGTGGTAGAAGGGGATGCACGCATATGCTTCGAGGGAATCTGGAATCTCCGCTGTGCGCAAAATTTATTTCCTCGACTGTGGCTGGGAGAAAGCCCACACAGCCCCAACTCTACTGTAGAGGAGCTGTAGAATGCCAGTGAGTTGCTCAGTTCACATTACGTCGCTTTGGGATGAGTGCTTACGCATAATTAAGAGCTCGAGAAAATCGTCGCGCGCCACGAAATTACGCGCACGCCCAAAAATCAGAGGAATCTTGGTTGTGAACTTTCCCCTGTCCGAGAGGGGTGTCTATTGCTTGATACGGCTTGGCTGAATGACTCAACCGTTGTGTGGTAGACCCTGTCCGACAACGCGATCGATGTGTCCGATTCAGCGTCCACTAAGTTGGATAGAAACGTCGGGAGAAGGAATGCCTGTGTGCAAAAGACGTTTGTCACTAAAATTAGCATATTATCATCATAGAGAGGTGGCGAGGCGTCCGACTGGGACCCGACCTTGCAGGCGACAGGGGATACTGTCATGGTTAACACTACTGTACCGTCGAGACGTCTGTAGTGATGATGAGGAGGAAAGAGGTATCAACGAACTTATAATCAGAGAATTTCTCTGGAAAAACACGTGGTGCTGCTAGCACTACTATACACAGAGAAACGAGATGTTAGCAATGACTTGCACTGAGCGATGGTTCAGTGGACAGCACTCATAGGCTTGAAAGCTTCAGAGCTCTCGCGAAGTTGAGTTCAGTATCACCGAAGTAATCACCGAGCAAAACGTAATGGGAACTCAGTGTGACTCCCTCGTAGTAGTACTAAGCTTGTGAACGCCCACCTCCTTGTCGTATTTATTGACAACAGTTGGCGTTATGGCAATGAGCGGTCCATACAGAGTTCGAGCCGACTCAGAGCAGTCGAGGGACGTCTACGCCTGTGACCTGGCTCGACCAACAGTGCTCATACCACGACTAACCATCGAGGCGTATGAAGGGAGGGTGAGGGCGTTGGCGGACACCAGGGCTGTGCTGAGGGACTGCTCTGCCATGATAAGCAGTAATAGTGACAATCTCACTCGCTACTGGGAGCCCTCAATAGGCCTGGCGGTCGCCGATGCTGGGGACGGCACTTTTCTCTTGCCCATTACTCTCCTTCCAAGACCTTTCCCGAGGGACCTGTAGGTTGGATATGGTAGAGGTCAACCTCGGAAAGATATTTCAGATTCAATTACGCCTATCATGCTAGTGCTGTGGTGACACGGCTGATTGATACGGCTGCTATCGACAGGGTGTGGGTAGAGGATGCGACTCGCAAGGTGATACCACACTTCGCCCACTTCTGCGGTGTGATACCCCAATAGTCAGGCTCGTGTCCTCAACCAACGACTAGTGGACATTTGGCGAGACGTGTACGTGGTCGGAGGAAGGAAGTATGAGGACCAGATCAGGCTGTAATGACAAGGGGACCGGTGTTGGGTCGGAAAACAACCCCATGAGGGCGTCAATGAAAATGCACTAGCTTAGTGGAGATTTTCCATAGCTTTCTCCCCCTCAACTATACATTCGATAGGAGGGGACATCGCCTGGTGGGAAAACTCGTTATCAGTAGACACAGTAAAGTTTTGCCCTGAAAAACTGTCACTCCCTTGGAGCTCCTCCGTCCCACCTAAGATATAGGCGTACGGAGACTCCAGTGATCTTTCATGTGGATGATCTTAGTGATTGCTACTACCATCACCACAGGTATCTCCTACGAGAAAAGTATCTGCGAGGATGCTCCCCTGGTCCCTTGCTCACTTTCAAAGCAGTCTCTGTAACGCCACACCTGGCAACTGCCGCTCAGAAAGTCTCTGTGAGATTAAGGAGGACAGCTCATCTGACTAGGATCTTACGGATTGTGTGCAGTGTCTTCATCGGATGACGACATTAACATCAGCGCTGGACAGAGTTGGTCATTGCGAGCTTCCTGACAACAAGACCGCCAACGAAATCGCTAGTGCCATGGCTGAGGCGGTGAGGCTCTATAATGAGAGGTAAGTCTCGATAAGTCAGCTCTCTGTCGAGCCGCAAACATAGACAGTACTGTGGTTTGAAATGGTCAATAGAGAGCTCTTACTCTGGGAGAGAAACTATGGAGTTCATCAGCGTTGTTTAAACTGCATGGTTGTGCTGAGGTAGACTATGTAGCTATCATAAAATCGTAGGGAAATGTTTGACAGTAACCCGGTACTGGTCAAGAGTTTTCTCTTCATTTCTTTCGACTGTTTTTGAGGGAAGGAGAGTAAACTGCTCGCTGTGCATTATAAAGTTGCGACTAGTCTCGGTATCAGATACCACAGAAGTTGTCATAACATTTGCATTGTCGTTGCTGATGACAACAGTAACAGCAGTTGCTTGATAGAGTAAGGCCTGTAGTCCTATCGCTGCCGGGAGCTGTTGCTGAGCAGGGCAGCGCTGTTGATGAATCATGCTACAGCTTGTCACAAGAGGACTATGAAGGAGCTCATCAGAGACGTAGAGATCGATGGGGATTTCTCGGTATAGAGCTGTCCCTCTACCTGCTCGATCATTCGCTCATGCCTCCTGTCAGGTTGTGCGACTGGCCGGTCGACTTGAGCCCAGTAGGTCAGTGGAGGTTGCCCTGGTTTACTATGAGGCACTAGAATACGACGCTGATGGTAGTAATGTGAGGGTAGGTCGCTGTTCGCATGTGCGGTGTAGATGAAGCCGCCTGGAACCTTCGTGGTAGGCTGGAGGAGAGCATGGCTGTACAGTGCCCGTCTGTCGTACTGCAGTTGCTGGGTGATGCCTCTGCTTTTGAAGAAGTATTAAGAGTGTCGTCGATTTAGGGAAGTCAGAGTTGCAGCAACAGTGGCGCAGTGACGCGAGTCTTATATCCTCTCTCAAGTGTGTCGACTATGCTCCTGATGACTTGTCGAGGTTTCTAGCGGTAGTGACTCTCATAGGACTTCCTTCTTGGATCGACACCCTCAGGTCCTCCGAGACGACTGTGGCCTTCCAACGCGTTCTACTGCGATACCATGTGTGGCTGTCGATGTAAGCTGTGGCGGGTATGGTCTTGAGGTCTTGGACAGCGCCGTATATTGGGGAACTCCCGTCAAAATGTGAACAAAGTTATCCTTCAAAGTTGATGTTCTTATCGGCTGATTTGTTTTCTTTGATCATTAAATTGCGGTTCCTATTGGCATAATTGAAATTTCTATTGGAAGCGTGAAATGAAACTGAGTTTTCTCTCTGCTAATATGGTCCTCTGATCTCAAGCGAAGCTCCAAACTGATATCTTTACTCGCATATGTTGGATCCTGGTCTCAATCGGCAAAAAGGTTCGTCAGTGGTATAGAGCGCAGGCATAGTGGCCCCATCCGACAAATAGATTCTTCCATGGTACAGACCACAGGCATAGTGGCCCCATTCGCCAAATAGATTCCTCGATGGTATAGACCACATGCATAGTGGCCCCATTCGGCAAATAGATTCCTCAATGGTACAGACCACAGGCATAGTGGCCCCATTCGTCAAATTGATTCCTCAATGGTATATACCTCAGGCATAGTGGCCCCATCCGCCAAATACATTCTTGAATAATATAGACCGTGTCACCACCCCTGGTGTCACCACCATCCTTCCCTCCGATCAATCATTGGTGTGATAGGTCGATGCCAGCATCAAGGAGGAGTGCGTTGTGAGTAAGGTCATTGAGGCTACTCAGTCAAATCTGAGTATTTATTCTTGCTTGGTCATGAACGGACCTGAGGTGGCTTTGGAGAGGATAGCTGGGCATGTATTGGAGACTCGAGGGTAGTAGTAGTAGGAGGAGGAAGGAGCTTGTATAGGCTAGAGGGACTGTGTTCGATTCAGTGAAGAGAGCTCGGAGGTCATAATTGATACGGCTCTGCTGACACCCCATGATGTGATTGAGGACAGTAGTGAGACTGAGTGATTGCCTGTTATAAGTATGAGTTCACCTTAATGATTTCACGATTAATGATCGAGTGGACTTTGTGTCCGTTTTATTGGTTCTCAGTGACGACACGTTGAGTTTGCTGGGGTAGGGTTGTCAGTGCGGCTACGGTGGCGTTAGGTGGTCGACACTATTTTGAGATTGACTGGAGCGCATCCTCAGACTGACGATTAACTTGTTATTAGTTCACGTTGTTCCTTATGCCGGAGTCTGTTATCACAACACCACCTCTAAAGAAGTTGATCTCGTGGGAGCAGTGGTCCCCTGAGAGGTACGAGCAATCGCTGAAGGCGATGGCTAAGGATGAGGCCACCCTCAGAGGGTGCGGTGCGATGTTGAGCAGTAGGAAGGGCATCACGAACTCCAGTCGTAGTGAGTGTCTTTGTCAGGTCTGGGTGTAGCGGTCATCCCCGAAAGCGACACTAAACCATTGAAAAGCGCAGTGCTCCCAGTGGCTCTTCTGCCGAGACCATTTCCCGCACGCCAGTGAGTTCACTGACCTAGTAGGTTCATCATGGACCGCCTCGTGGTTTAGGTTTGAGTCGGCATGGAGGCTTGGCAGTGTTATTACTAAGCTTGTTGATAACATTTCTATCGACCCACAATGGCTGGTGAACAGCCTTGAGGAGGTAGTCGTTTTCGTGCTGTTGTTGTTGATAGCATAACTTTACCGTAGGTGGCCAAAGCTGATGACTTTACGAGAAGATTGCTGCAAATTTGTCGAGCTGTTTACGTTGATGGAGGGCGAGACCACTCTGAAGATATACGAATGTATGACTCAATCTGCGCTGGCTTGACGAGAAGCTCTTTTCAGTCACCTGATTCGTCACGATTACCTTCCTACTACTGTGGGCGACCGTTTGCTGCAAGTTGAAGTTAATACAGTCTCTGCAGGCTTTGCAGGAATGGGAACTCAGGTTTCGGTAATGTGGGGTAATTTTGTGGCGCAGTGAAAAATTCCCCTATGCTCAGACCTTCCATCGAATGACCGCTTCTGCGGCTTTTGAAGGGCTCAGCCCCACCCAGTTGCCTCCCAACAAGCCAATCGTTGACTTTGCGGCTGCTATTGCCGAGGCCGTTGCTGCTTACAATGAGAAGTAACGGCAGTTGTCTCTCAGGAGTGTTTGACATAGTCGTTTTAGATTCGGTCGTTGCTCGCATACTATTTGTATGATGGTTGATGCTCCTGAGGACAACGAGTGCGACCAACGATTTTTAGAGTAACAGCGGACATGTTCCGTATCTTTACCAGGGAACCTCTTGATACAGATCTGTGCTTCTCGCCGACTACGGCATCAACGTCGAGCGCCGAACTATGACCGATCTTGCCGGCGCGGCTGTTGTAGATAGCCAGACTGGTGTAAGCAGCTCTGTGAGCTCAATCAGATTGAGGAACTCGATTCAGGTGGTTTCTATACCCGCATTATTGAATTCAAAACGAATGGTTGAAATTGCCCTTTTTTATTTCCGGACAGGCTATGGACCTACTCAGTATCTTGATGGTGAGAAAAGCGTCGTAGGAATCGAAATTGACGGTGGATTGGTATTGGCAGATTCGCACTGGGAGCTTCGTGAAAGATTGGAGAAGAGTAATGCTGTCATGTGCCCATCAGTGCCTCAGCAGCTGACTGGTAGGCGGAGCGAAGCGATTTTCGTTTGCTGATTTTTAGACCGATCGGCTCATTTCAGGCACTAAAAAAGTGCAACAGCTCTGGTACAGCGATCCCAGTGTGATGAGTCGCTTTGGATTGACACAAGAGGAGGCTAATAGGATGCGGGAGCATTTCGCTGTAGGTGTGGTTGTGGTGATGTGGTGATGGAGTGGTACTAGGTACAAGTGGACCCCTCGGAGGACAAGGACACCGTCGCTGCGGCGTTGAAGGATCCGTCGGCCTGGGTAGGGTGATTGATTAGATCGTCGTCATCTACTGGTGTTGGAATATATGTTCGGTTCTCTCAGCTGGTGCTGGGACTCTTCTCACTGTAGGAGTTTACATAGGACTTCACGAACACATGTGGTTGCCCATGTGGAAATTTCCATCCCCCATTCAGGTGTTGAAGCCTCAACGTGAAGGAGGTGGTCATAACATGTACGGCGATGAGCTTGTGGAAGCCCTCACGACGACTTCTG